CCGAGCAGGACAGGACGCTGTTTCTTGTCGGTACTTTATCGCTAAAACAACAAGAAAACCAGGTATGTTTTATGCCCGAAAAAACACTCATAAAATGATTTTCTGTAAAAGTACGTATTTTAAAAAAAAAAAAATGTCGTAAAATAGTGGGGAATTTAATAAAATACAAGAAAAACTGAGAAACAAAAAAAAGTGCGGAAAAAAGGGGAGAAATTTAAATAGTGGGAATCTAATAAAATGGAAGAAAAACTGAGAAACAATAAAAAAAAGTGCGGGAAAAAAGGGGGAAAATAAAAAATCGCTAAATCGCCTTCTACGAACCCGTTTTAGTGATATTATTGGTATGTTCTGTGTTGGTAACCCCGTGTTACCGGTGTTATTTGGGTTGCTCACACAGGTTCTCCAGTCCGTGGCTTTCCACCAATTGGTTTTTACCACCTATTCGACTTATACTTTGGCTTATCCGGGACGGAATCTTGGAGGAGGGAGGGGCGGCAATGAAGGTTCGGGAGAGAGCTTTCTTTAGTTTTAGCTGTTGACCCTAGACTTTTGTAGCATTGGTGCCTGTGCCGCTGGGGGAGGGGGCGAAAAACCCCTTTCTCGAGGATCTGCCCATGAAACGCCCCCTTTTTGGAGATAGTCTAAACGATGTTAGTCGTAAATTCTTATTGGTCGATTATTGATAGCTATCATAAAACAGCCCGTAGACATAAGGGACGAACAGTTCAGTTATACTTTCCCAAATTTTCCTTTTTTGTCTTTTCTATGCAGCAAAACGGTTTTCGTCTCCTTCCATCTGCTGTGTATCTTCTTTTGGGCAAACATCGGCTAAGCGACTTGGGCGAGAGCATTCCAAGATTCGTGCCCTCTGAATCTGATGAGTTCGATGTTAATGCCATCATTGCGAAAAGTGAATTATGAAAGGAGCAGTGGGAAGTTAATGTAGTTTTTGCCTTTAAGATTTGTTTGCTAGAGGTGGACGACGACTGGCTTCAGATCACCAAACGATCATTTCCGCATCGAGCCGGAGAAATTTGGCATATGTCTAGTTCGCCTGTTGATCCGGAAATCGTTGCTACATGTTATGTTAGCTGTGAGTTTCTTTCGCATTCGTTGTTGTTGAAGCGCACTTTGTGAAGCACTTGTAGGAGGAGGGATGGGATTTGACGGATTGGATTTGACGTGGCATAGATCACTTATGTGGGAGATACAGTAAAAGTTTCTGTCAAAGTTAGTAACAATCTAACTTTTCTCGATACTTGCTTTGTGCGATAGTTGAAAGCAAAACCTCGAAATTAATCTGAATTGTAACATGTACTAGCAGTAGGCACAGTCTGGCAAGGCTTTCGATGGCTCCTTCTTTCGAGAGTTGTTTAGAAGCA